ACCACATTTTCTTTATCCAGTCTATCATTGATGGACATTTGGGTTGGTTCCATGACTTTGCTATTGTAAATAGTGCTGCAATAAACATATGTATGCATCTGTCTTTATAGTAGAATGATTTATATTCCTTTGGGTATATATTCAGTAATGAAATTGTTGGGTTAAACAGTATTTCTGGTTCTGGATCCTTGAAGAATTGCCATGCTGTCTTCCACAATGATTGCACTAATTTACGTTCCCACCAACAGTGTAAAAGCATTCCTATTTCTCCATAGCCTTGCCAGCATCTGTTGTTTTTTAAATTTTTAATAATTGCCATTCTGACTGGTGTGAGATGATACCTTACTGTGGTTTTGATTTGAGTTTCTCTAATGATCAGTGATGTTGAGTTTTTTTTCATATGTTTGTTGGCCACGTAAATGTTTTCTTTTCAGAAGTGTCTGTTCATATCCTTTGCCCACTTTTTGATGGGGTTGTTTTTTTTCTTGTAAATTTGTTTAAGCTCCTTATAAATTCTGGATATTAGATCTTTGTCAGATGGGTAGATTGCAAAAATTTTCTCCCATTCCATAAGGTGCCTGTTCACTCTGATGATAGTTTCTTTTGCTGTGCAGAAGCCCTTTAGTTTGATTAGATCCCATTTCTCAGTTATGGCTATTGTTGCAATTACTTTTGGTGTTTTCTTCATGAAGTCTTTGCCCATGCCTGTGTCCTTAATGGTATTGCCTAGGTTTTCTTCTAGGGTTTTTATGGTTTTAGGTTTTACAGTTAAGGTTTTATTCCATTTTGAGTTATTTTTGCATACAACGTAAAGGAAGAGTCCAGTTTCAGTTTTCTGCATATTGCTAGTCAGTTTTCCCAGCACCATTTATTAAACAGGAGACCCATTCCCCATTGCTTGTTTTGTCAGGTTTGTTGAAGATCAGATGGTTGTAGATGTGTGGTGACATTTCTGAGATCTCTGTTCTGTTACATTGGCCTATATATCTGTTTTGGTACCAGTAACATACTATTTTTGATACTGTAGCCTTGTATTATAGTTTGAAGTCAGGTAGCCTGATGCCTCTAGTTTTGCTCTTTTTGCTTAGGATAGTCTTGGCTATACGGGGTCTTCTTTGATTCCACATAAAATTTAAAGTAGTTTTTTTCCAATTTTGTGAAGAATATCAATGGTAGTTTGATGGGAATAGCATTTAATTTATAATTTACTTTGGGCACTATGGCCATTTTCACAATATTGATTTATTGATTCTTCCTATCCATGAAGATGGAATGTTTTTCCATTTGTTTGTGTCCTCTCTTATTTCCTTGAGCAGTGATTTGTAGTTCTCCCAGAACAGGTCCTTCACATCTATTCTAAGTTGTATTCCTAGGTATTTTATTTTTCTTTCAGCAATTGTCAATGGGAAGTCATTCATGATTTGGCTCTCTGCTTGTCTACTGTTTGTGTAAAGGAATTCTTCTGATTTTTGCTCATTGATTTTGTATGCTGAGACTTTGCTGAACTTAGCAGCTTAAGACGTTTTGGGGCTGAGATGATGGGATTTTCTAAATTTAAAATCATATCATAGACAGAGACAATTTAAATTCCTCTTTTCCTATTTTAATACCCTTTGTTTCTTTCTCTTGCCTGATTGCCCTGGCCAGAACTTCCAACACTATGTTGAATAGGAGTAGTGAGAGAGGGCATCCTTGTCTTGTGCTGATTTTCAAAGGGAATGCTTCCAGTTTTTGCCCATTCAGTATGATATTGGCTATGGGTTTATCATAAATATCTTTTTATTATTATGAGATATCAATACCTAGTTTATTGAGAGGGTTTGTTTTTGTTTGTTTGTTTTTTGAGATGGAGTCTCACTCTGTGGCCCAGGCTGGAGTACAGTGGTGCAATCTCAGCTCACTGCAGCCTCAACCTCCTGGATTCAAGCGATTCTCCTGCCTCAGTCTCCCAAGTAGCTGGGATTACAGGCATGCACCATCACTCCAAGCTAATTTTTGTATTTTTAGTAGAGATGGAATTTCACCACACTGATCAGACTGATGTCAAACTTCTGACCTCAAGTGATCCACCCCCTCGGCCTTCCAAAGTGCTGGAATTACTGGTGTGAGCCACCATGCCTAGCTAATTGAGAGTTTTTAACATGAAGGGATGTTGAATTTTCTCAAAGGCCTTTTCTCCATCTATTGAGATAATCACGTGGTTTTTGTCTTTGGTTTTGTTTATGTGATGGATTACATTTATTGATTTGCACATGTTGAACCAGCCTTGCATCCCAGGGATGAAGCTGACTTGCTCGTGGTGGGTAAGTTTTTTGATGTGCTGCTGGATTCAGTTTGCCAGTATTTTATTGAGGATTTTCACATTAATGTTCATCAGGGATATTGGCCTGAAGATTTCTTTTTTTTTTTTTTTTTTTTTTTTTTTTTCCCGTTTTTTTTTTTTTTTTTTTTTTTGTTATGTCTCTGCCAGGTTTTGGTATCAGGATGATGCTGGCTTCATAAAATGAGCTAGGGCAAAGACCCTCCTTTTCATTTGTTTGGAATAGTTTCAGAAGGAATTGTACCAGCTCCTCTTTGTCTGGTAGAATTCGACTGTGCATCCATCTGGTCCTGGCCTTTTTTGGTTGGTAGCCTATTACTACTTACTACCTTAATTTCAGATCTTATTATTGGTCTATTCAGGGATTCAACTTCTTCCTGGTTTAGTCTTGGGAGGATGTATTTGTCTAGGAATCTATGCATTTCTTCTTGATTTTCTGTTTTATTTGCATAGAGGTATTTATAGTATTCTCTGATGGTAGTTTATATTTCATTGGGGTCAGTGGTAATATCCCCTTTATCATTTTTTATCATGTATCTTTGATTCTTCTCTCTTTTCTTCTTTATTAGTGTAGCTAGTGGTTTATGTATTCTGTTAAGTTTTTCAAAAAAACTGCTCCTGGATTCATTGATTTTTTCGAAGGAGTTTTCATGTCTCTCCTTCAATTCTGCTCTGATTTTAGTTATTTCTCATCTTCTGCTAGCTTTTGGATTAGTTTGCTCTTGCCTCTCTAGCTCTTTTAATTGTGATGTTAGGATGTCGATTTGAGATCTTTCTACCTTCCTGGTGTGGGCATTTAGTGCTATAAATTTCCCTTTTAACACTGCTTTAGCCGTGTCCCAGAGATTCTGGTACATTCTGTCTTTGTTCTCATTGGTTTCAAAGAATTCGTTGATTTCTGCCTTAATTTCATTATTTACCCAGGAGTCATTCAGGAGCAGGTTGTTCATTTTCCATGAATTGTGTGGTTTTGAGAGTTTCTTAATCCTGAGGTCTAATTTGATTGCACTGTGGTCTGTGAGACTGTTTGTTATGATTTCAGTGCCTCTGCATGTGCTGAGGAGTGTTTTACTTCCAATTATATGGTCAATTTTAGAATAAATGCCATGTGGCACCGAGAAGAATGTATATTCTGTTGATTTGGGATGGAGAGTTCTGTATATTTCTTTTAGGTCCATTTTATCCAGAGCTAAGTTCAAGTCCTGAATAATTCTTGTTAATTTTGTCTCATTGATCTAATATTGACAGTGGGGTGTTAAAGTCTCCCACTATGATTGTGTGAGAGTCTAAGTCTCTTTGTAGGTCTCTAGGAACTTGTTTTATGAATCTGGGTGCTCCTGCATTGGGTGCATATATATTTAGAATACTTAGCTCCTCTTGTTGAATTGTTCCCTTTATCATTATGTAATGCCCTTATTTGTCTTTTTTTGATCTTTGTTGGTTTAAAATCTGTTTTCTCAGAGACTAGAATGGCAACCCCTGATTTTTAAATTTTATTTATTTATTGCTTTCCATTAGCTTGGTAACTATTCTTCCATTCCTTTATTCTGAGCCTATGTGTGTCTTTGCAGATGATATGGATCTACTGAATATAGCCCACCAATGGGTCTTGACTCTGTCCAATTTGCCAGTCTATATCTTTTAATTGGGACATTTAGTCCATTTACATTTAAGGTTAGTATTATTATGTGTGAATTTGACCCTGAGATCATAGTGCTATCTGGTTATTTTGCACAAGAGTTGATGCAGTTTCTTCATAGTGTCATTGGTCTCTATATTTTGGTGTGTTTTTGCAGTGGCTAGTACTGTTTTTTTGTTTGTTTCTATATTTAGTGCTTCTTTCAGGAGCTCTTGCAAGGCAGGCCTGGTGGTAACAAATTCCCTCTGCATTTGCTTGTCTGGAAATAATTTTATTTCTCCTTTGCTTATGAAGCTTAGTTTGTCTGGATATGAAATTCTGGGTTGAAAATTCTTTTAAGAATGTTGATATTGGCCCCCAATCTCTTCTGGCTTGTAGAGTTTTTGCTGAGAGGTTCTCTATTAGTCTGACAAGTTTCCCTTTGTAGGTGACCTGGCCTTTCTCTCTGGCTGCCCTTAATTTTTTTTTTCCTTCATTTCAACCTTGGAGAATCTGACGATTATCTGTCTTGGGGTTTTGGGGTCGATCCTCTCATGGAGTATCTTAGTGGTGTTCTCTGTTGGCCTGTCTTGCTAGTTTGGGGAAGTTCTCCTAGATAATATCCTGAAGTGTGCTTTCTAGCTTGTTTCTATTCAGCCTGTCTCCTTCAGTTACTCCACTCAGTCATAGGTTCAGTCTTTTAATAAAGTCTCAATTTCTTGGGACTTTATAAAAACTTTGTTCATTCCTTTTCATTCATTTTTCTCTAAAAAACCACCTTAAACTTCATATGGAACAACAACAACAACAAAAAAAAAACCCCAAGAAAAGCCCTCATAGCCAAGACAAGTCTAAGCAAAAACCACAAAGCTGGAGGCATCACGCTACCTGACTTCAAACTGTACTACAAAGCTACAGTAACATGGTACTAGTACCAAGACAGAGATATAGACTGATGGAACAAAACAGAGGCCTTAGAAGTAATGCCACACATCTACAACCATCTATCTTTGACAAACCTCACAAAAACAAGCAATGGGGAAGGGATTCCCTGTTTAATAAATGGTGTTGGGAAAACTGGCTAGCCATGTGCAAAAAAACTGAAACTGGACCCTTTCCTTACATCATATGCAAAAATAACTCAAGATGGAATACTCACCTCCCTCCAGCTGTATGCAGTAAGGCATTAATCAGATTCCAAAAGAGATCAGTAATTCTACTCACCTGGTATAAAAGATCCTGGGACAGTATCAATCTCTTTTTGTAATAGCATAAAGCCCACCATTTCAATAAATCCACTGTTCATTACAGAGTGTTTTCTATGTGCCAGCCACCATGCTGAAAGCTTGATATGCCAAACATTTCATTGAAACCTCACAAGACCCTATTATGAATACTATTTATTACAGGTTAGGCAAATGAGCTTTCTGCAAATTATGCATTTTGCCAAGGTCAGCTAGAAATGGAGACCTGGATTTTTAATCATGCCTGTATGATTTCAAATTCTGTGACCTCAGTCACTATATTATTTTTCAGTTCATCATTTTCTCACAATCCCATCCCTTGTCCACCATCATGATTACCAGAGCTCAACAGACTCTGGAGCCAACTAACTCAATTTTCTGAGATTCTAGCCCTGTTCTTTCCCACACTGCCCTCTTTCCTCACCTCAGCGCTAGGATTCCCCAACTCCCCAAGTTCCCAGGATTCATCTCAGGAAGCAACTACCCAAAGAGATTAAGCTTCAGTGCAGGAAAAGAAAAAGAGAGCATACGAAGAATCCTCAAGTTCTTTTTAACTGATATGTCCTAAAACAAATTCTTTAAACCATTTTCCTCTTTAAACCAACTTCTCCTCCAAAACAGGTAGCAAATCTCAAGTTATTGGGACAGCTTCTTCAAATGTGCTATACAATGAATTACAAACTTCTTCAAATTCCTCCTTCAAGATTATTCCTTTCTAATTCTACTTATAATATTTATGGTTATTACCTTCTCTCCTTATTGTGAGTTCTTCCTACCCTGTTTCTATGTCTCTGATTTCTCACTCTCTGATTCCCCTTGGAGAGTAAACTAAAAGAGTAAACATTTTGTCCCATTACTTACCATCTCAAAAAATTTTATCTGCTCCCAGTATTTGCTGAGTAGACTCAAAAATTTTAACATAGCTTCCAAGGACTTGCATAAACTGGTCTCTGCCTACTTTTCCCTATCTTTATCTTTCCACTTTCTAAAGTATTAGAAAGCTATTCTAAAGTATTCTGGTTGCTGGCCCCTGAACTCAGCTTGCTTTCTCAACTTCATGATCCTTCATGATCCTATTCACATTGTTCACTCAACATGAGATGTATTTTCACTTGTCTTTGTCCACAGTGATCCTATTTTATTCTGAGACCCAGATCACATTCCCTTTGTTCTGAAACCCCAACAAGAAATTGCTCCCCTTCCTCTGAACACCTGAGGTGCTTACCAACATCACTATATCCTTGCTATTTGTCCTATATTACCTTGTACTGCAGTTATGGGAGTAGGTGTTTCAACCCTTTCACCAAGTATTAAATTTTAAAGAGCAGGACTTTCAACTTACACACCTTTATGCCCCACTGCAGCACCTGGCCTAGTGCATTGACTATAAATGATACTGACAGATGCACTGAGTAAATGAAATATATGAATAGGTAAAAATGCTAGGTTAGTCAGTATCTAAGATGGCCCCAAGGATTCTAGCCTCCTGGTATTCATGTTTTTGTGTAGTCTCCTTCCACACTGAATAATCAATAAAATATTGCAAAAATGATAGAATGTGACTTCCAAGGTGAAGTCATTAAAGATATTGTGGCATTCCAATCATATGAAGTGGTTCACGTGGTGGGAAACTGACACCTCCCACCAACCACCAGCACACACTTGGTTACTTGAGGGAGTCATCGCAGAAATAGATTCTTTGGTCTCAGGCAAATTTTCAGATGGCTGCAACAACAAATGACATCTTTACTACACTCTTTTGAGAAACCCTGAGCCCGAATCACTCAGCTAGAAGTTGCCAGAGATAATGTAAGTCTGTTATTATTTTAAGAATCTAAATTTTAGGGTAATTTGTCACAGAGCAATATGCAACTAATACAGAAGCCCATTGTAATAGCTATAACCACAGGCATTAAAAAGTCCAAAAAACTTCCACTGGGTTTGAGAAAAAAAAAATAAGAACAAAAATGAGAAGTTATAAAGAAATAAAAGACTTCAAAAAAATGAATACCTGAGCTGTGCATGTAAGGTATTTCTGTTGCTAGAAGACTTTGAAAGACTGCTTTCAGTCTCCAGGTCTCTGTGCATGTTTCTGATGTGTGAGTCATAATCTTGAGGTATGTTTGTAATCTTAATGATCAAGCATACAGTAAGTATTAATAACAATCATTTCCTTAGCATATCTATGTGCTAGAAACTGTTCTAAGACCTTTCCAACAAGCCTAGAATACAGGTACTCCTATTATTCCCATCTTACAGAAAAGGTTACTGAGTCCTACAGCAATTAAGTTACTTGCTCGAGGATTCAAAGGTGGTAGTTGGCAGACTGATTTTGCATGCACACAATCTGGATTTACAGCTTATACTCTGAATCATTATGCAACATGAAACATCGGTCTTCCTTTAAGAATTGACATTATATCCAACATTTCACAGAAATCATTTAAAGTATTAAAAATTAGGTTTATTTAAAATTAGTGAGTGTAACTAATTCATGGATTGGCTCTAGCAACACTCACTTGGTTACAAGACCTATTCACCTTGCTTCTTTTGATAGTTAAAACCATGAAGTAAAGCTGAAAGCTGAGAAGCTATCTTATTCTATACACTATCAAGAGACATTCTTAAAATCTTGAGTGTATTTACCTCCAGCATAGTGGGATTTGAAGCATCTTTTGACTCAAGTTGGGTGCGTCAAACAGTGATGTTTGAATCCAGACTGCAATTGTTGATTTTCTAAGTACGATAAAATCCATTTTACTTTTTTTGTTGAGGTCTAGAAGGAACACGGCAAATAAAAAGAAAAGTATAATTTAAGGGATATTTTCATTCGGACTGTTTTCAGAAGCTGTTCAAAATCTTGAGGAAGATATGAAAATCTCTAAGACCCTGTCCCCAAGAGGGTACACTTCCCTCCCCTTCCCTCCATCGCTACTCTCCTAAGCTAACCAGTTTACGTCTCTTTCCATATTTTTCCCTATTCCCACACAAATATTTGCAATCAGAAGTACTATATGTATATATTCATTAATCCTACCTGGGTTGCAATGCCTTTTTAATTTATAGGCTTTATTTTAAAAATCCATTAATTTTAAAATTTTCAATCATCCTCCCTAAGTTTGTTCTCCTTCTCCTTCCCATTGGTTAGGTGTTGATTTTCTGGTTGTTTACCCCACATTTCTGAGCTTTCCACTCATGATTTCTCTCTCCGTTTTTACCTTGTTGAGATAGATGTCCTACCATTGGCTCTCCCAACTCACAAACTCACTTTTAATAGTTAACTATTTTCTATTTTGGCAATATTTTAAAAAATATTTTCTTTTTATAAAGCATTGTTTGTAGTCTTGTCACATCTCTCTGAGTTTTATTATCTCTGTTTTCAAAAGCATCCTTGAACTCGTCCAACAACTTTAGTGGAAGCCATCTGTCACAGAGCTTACCCAGGAGTCTTTCTGTGAATGCCTTCTAGTGCAGATCATTTTTGTGTTTTCCTGCTTATGGTTTCATGCCTTTTCAGCAGCCACAAGTCTAGCTGTCAATGTGTCTTAACCAGGGACAGACCACCAACTGGGGACTCGATTTAGATTCAAAGGCAAACAAACACCACTTATTACAGAATGATTTAAAAGATAACCTCTTCTGGTCCATTTTGTTTCCAAAAAGGAGTACGTTACAAATAATTTTAATGTTTAAAGGCAATTTATTATTATTTCAATGTGGTTTGGGGACTCATGAGTTTTTAAATGATATAAATGTTGTTAAGAGAAATACGTTTAGTATCTAACTATGATTCTGTAAACGGTGGTAAAACTAGTTGAGTCACTGTGGCTCATGTACACAATGAATTAATGTCACTAGCTCAGGATATTGCTCAAACTGACCTTTTTCACTTATAAAATCCTTCTAACCAAATAAGAAAAAAGTTAAAAGCAACCTGATGACATTTAAAAACATAAAAGGAATTATCAACCTTTATCATCACTGTGTTTGTAGAGAAGAATTTTATTTTCTTTTTTAAAGTGCCATCTAACCCTGTTTTTACTAAAAATACCAAAAATTAGCCAGATACGGTGGTTCGCACCTATAGTCTCAGCTACTCCAAAGGCTGAGGCAGAGGAACTGCTTGAACCCGGCAGGCAGAGGTTGCAGTGAGCCGAGATCATGCCACTGCAGTCCAGCTTGGGCAACAGAGCAAGGCTCCATCTCAAATAAATAAATAATGAAAGTGCCCTCTAATAACCTACGATGGATTGGTATTTAAAAAAGAAAAAGGAAACAATGAGGGTCGGACGCAGTAGCTCATGCCCATAATTCCAGCACTTTGGAGGCTGAGGTGGGCAGATCACAAGGTCGAGATTGAGATCATCCTGGCCAACATGGTGAAACCCCATCACTACAGAAAATACAAAAATTAGTTGGTGGTGTGACACCGGCCTGTAATCCCAGCTACTGAGGAGGCTGAGGCAGGATAATCAGTTGAACCAGGGAGGCGGAGGTTGCAGTGAGCCGAGATCACCCCATTGCACTCCAGACTGGCGACAGAGCAAGATGCTGTCTCAAAAAAAAAAAAAAAAAAAAAAAAAAAAAAAAAAAAAAAAAAAAAAAAANAAAAAAAAAAAAAAAAAAAAAAAAAAAAGGAAACAACGAAGAAAAATATCTCAACCTGGAAAACTTTGCCAGTCCTTGCACAGAGGAAATCATAGCCTGTCATTGATCTGTATGAACATTTCAGTTCCAAACTGGAGCACTAGGCTGCATTGTTCCTTATCTCCCAGTATGCTAAGAAACCAATTATGTTAAATAATATTGCTTTAAGGGATTTTTCAGAGCTGCTGAAAACAGATCTGTGCACTAACCTAGGACCTTAAATGTCAATATTTAGTTGCAGGATTCACACAATGTTCAAAAACATAGTTTTATTTAATATTATTTTTTCAAAACATATTAAACAATTAACATTTTACAACAATATTTTTTGTAATCCTCTGGTGAACAGCAGTTGAAGAATACAGCAGGTTAAGCAATAAAATAAAAATACCAAATAGTTGCTAAAGCAATATTTCATGTAAAACATAAGGCTCTTATCATATCAATCCAAATGAACTTATTTAACTGAAGACAACCTTTAATATAACTATCAATCAGATGGGTTTGATATTCAGTTCTTCCACTTCCCACACAATGCAAAAAGCTTCCCACACATTTCTCTGACTCACATAAATAATAAATTGTCCTTTGTAAAGAGATGAGCCTTTATTGTTGGATCCCTCAATCAAAATGGAAAACCACATCCCCAGGCAAGAAAGAGGTGCACTTCAGGAGATATGGGATTTAAAACAAAATTAACGTTGCAAAATAAGAAAGACAAGATTGAAATACGTATCAGGACAATAATATCTAAAAAGCTTAACATTAGCAAGGGATCCAGTTAAAAAAAAAAAAAAAAGCTATTTAAAGCATGTGTGCAGAACTCACCACTGGCAGCATTTCCTCAAAGAAAGGGGAAAAGCTTGATCTAGTCAGGGCACTAACCCTAATGGTGAAAGCTCTGGACTCTATGCCACTGAAATTGCTGTGAAGATCTGAGCCACACATTGTATCTGTTGTTGGGTCTTAAATATTTTTCATTCAAGCCTTCTCAATATTCATCCATAGAATCTATGTCATAATGAACCCAGAAGCACGAACACTTCAATAGCAGAGTTACTAATAGATGATATCCAATAAATATTGTGTATTTCTTACATTTTCATTATGCCAAGAAAAATAGAAGATCTCTGGAAAGCATAAGGTAACTATTGACTTATTTAAGAAGCTTCGAGGTTGATGGAAACATGGTCAGTTCCTCTCTACCTATGTTCTTCATTGTCTGCTTTCCTCTGCAGCCTTAAATAGGAAATGGGCTGAAAAAATTGGTAAATAAGAGGACACACACAGCTTCATTTCCAAGAGTTGAATATTTTGGAAGGAATTAGAAAAGGCCTTCAGTTTTCTCTTGGACAGGTATTGTTCCAGGATTTTGAAGATATCAGATACAACTCAAATATCCACACCCTCATCCATTTTACTTTGGCATCAAGGCAAAGGTCTTATGACACTGCATTTCCTCTAATTCTCAGTGGTGTATGAGGCCAAAATTGTAATATACAAACCCAGGTTTCAGCTGGAAGATGAAAATGAAGTCAGTGAGCTTTTTAGTCTCTTTGGTTTTAGGCCATTCAATATATTTTGTTTAAGTGAAGGACTTCTCTTAAATTTCTAAGACAATATATGTCCAGGCAAATAGGTCTTTGGAGTTTGTGTTCAAAGCTCTAGCAATAACAGTATGTTAATTATCCTTGATTTGTCTCCTCTATGGAAAAATTTTGGGGGACTTTCTAGGTTAGAGTAGCCAGTAAAGATCTGGATGTAGAAAATCTGGGTATCTTGTCCAAATACTATCATAATGCTGGTCTTAGTCGTGTAAAGGCATAGCCACTTGTTCATCACGTTGCTATGACTCTGCTGTTACAAAAGTACAAACTACACTGTCAACATTTGAGCAATATAAATCCTCTATGAGTTGTGGGTTGAGTCTACTATTGTCTTTGCAGTGAAACTAGTGGGTATGCATTTAAGTAGTTTCTACCTGGATGGAGAACCACTCTGTCTCTGTACCTTTTGCAGAGTAGGCAGACTTCCAGGGGTGATGTTTTTTGGCTAAGACCACGAGGCTTAAAACCATGAAACTTTAAAAACCATACCAGCATTCAGTTTTGGAAAGGGCCAGGCTCAAGGGGACAACTTTAATGTCAATGTCAGAATTCACTCCTCACAAGTTCTGGAGATCCAATGACCTCTACCAACCTAAGTTGATTCCAAAACAACCTTGTAAGATCTAGTTAGGACAAGGATTTTCAGAGCCTCAAAGTAATTCAAACCCCTTAAAGTTATCCTCCAACTTTTATCTTTTGAGGATGAGTGTGACTCATGGACAACTTGGGCCAAGAATATCTTCTGGATTAGTTGTGGGTTCTGTATGCATTACCCATACCTGGCCCTGCCAACTACCACCACCAGCTCTGAAGATCATGCCTCATGTCTATAGCCATGAAACTTTATCTTCTGGGGATTAGTGAAGTCTCTGTAATTTTTGCATGACAGTATATTTTTAACTAAAACCATGGTGGCAAATCTGTACCTTTTTAAGTTATACAGAATATATGATAGTCTTCTTTTTAATTATTAATTATTATTATTATTATTTGGGACAGAATTTTGCTCGTTTCCCAGGCTGAAGTACAGTTGCCTGATTTCGGCTCACTGCAACCTTCACTTCCTGGGTTCAAGTGATTCTCCTGCCTCAGCCCCCAAGTAGCTGGGATTACAGGGACCTGCCACCACACCCAGCTAATTTTTGTATTTTTAGTAGAGATGGGGTTTCATCATGTTAGCCAGGCTGGTCACAAACTCCTAACCTCAGGTGATCCACACACCTCAGCCTCCCAAGGTGCTGGAATTACAGGCATGAGCCACCGCACCCAACCACATGATAGCCTTCTTGACAACAGTAGGACAACTAAGAAAATGGTCACATTAGCTAACAATATGCCCACAATCAACTTAGCCTTTTCTAGAAAGTCACATAATTGCCAATCTCTTCCTGATACCACCTTCTCCACCT